GCTATCATCCATACAGACTGAGTATCCAAGTGTGCATGCTTGCTATCATCCATACAGACTGAGTATCCAAGTGTGCATGCTTGCTATCATCCATACAGACTGAGTATCCAAGGGTGCATGCTTGCTATCATCCATACAGACTGAGTATCCAAGTGTGCATGCGTGCTATCATCCATACAGACTGAGGACTAAGGGAGTAAAAGGAGCATGCTGACATCTAGTTTCCCCCATCAAAATACCACTTAACTCTGATTTGTATTACTTTATTACTAAGTTTTTCTTATGTCTGCTCTTTGAACTGAGGACATAAAGTTATACATTTCTGAGAAACATTTGACTAGAGGAAGTTCATATAATAGTATTTTGGTTACTCTTGAGATAATTTTGCTCATTTCTAAGTTAGATAGATTAAGTATTTAGCTTCAGTTGTCAGTGTCATTTAGTTTAGACAAGACAGAGCAGAAAGGAAGACGTTAATTGTTGTGTCCCATTACTAGACCTGGGAGCTGGAAGAGCAAAGACTTGCTATGTTCAGAGAAGCCCTGGGAAGAAAAAAAAGCTACAGACTAAAGCACAAAGAAATAGGGGTTACATTTAAACATTATTAAAATTATAAGTAAAGGTTCTTTCAAAGTTCTTTTAGAAAAAGAAATAAGAGGCTTAATTTAGTCACCAATATTTCCCTTCCCTCCCCTCCCCTCCCTTTCCTTCCCCTCCCCTCCCTTCCCCTCCCCTTCCCTCCCCTCCCTTTCCCTCCCCCCCCTTTCTTTCACTTGTTTTTGTTTTTTGAGACAGGGCTTCTCTATGTAGCCCTGGCTGTCTTGGAACTTGCTATGTAGACCAAACTGGGCTGGAACTCAGAGGCCTGCCTTCCTTTGTCTCCCAGGTGCTGGGATTAAAGGTGTGCAATGCCATGCCGTTTTATTTCTTTTTTATAATTTTGAGACAGGGTCCTGCTATGGAGCCTGGATTATCCAGAATTCACTATGTCGTTCAGGCTGGTCTTGAATCTATGATTGTCTCTGTTCACATAACAAGTGCTAGGGTCACAGGCGTGTGCCGCCACACTCATACACATCTCGGCCACAGGTGAAGCCTGACTTTACATCTCTACAGTATATGAGAAACTCAAAGAACACATACTTGAAGTTCAAACACAATAGTATTGACTGCTAGGAAGCTACCATTTAGAACAGTTCTGAACAGAACCACAGGTAACAAGTTCCCTAAAAGTCGTTAAGCACAGTGGATGCAAAGGGGCCGTCCTGCTGCTGCAATAGAGCTACTGACTTACCAACATTGTTTTAGGCAATGTTTTTGCTTTAACTTAAGTAAACTAATTAGTTAGGTCTCTTCAAAAGTATTGGAGGTCAGTAGTCTATTTTGGCTTGAGATTTAAACATACCTGTAAGCCAAAAACAAAACAAAGCAAAAACAAACAAAACAAAACAACCCCCCCCCAAAAAAAACCCTAAGAGAACAATGTATCATTCACTCACAAATATACTTACATCTCTCTCTCTCTCTTTTTTTTTTTTTGAGGTTCCAGGAGCTTTATTGATATGGACTATGACAGATGGTCTAGATGTGCACCCTCCCCCCTTAGGCCAGGGGGACCCGGCTTAAATAGGGAGGAGGAGAAAGAAGGATCTCGGAGGGAATAACTTAATTAGCTACACCTTCTGGCCTTTAGATAACTTATCAATATGGAAATCTCTCGAGGCTGAAGCCTGTAGCCACGCCCTATGTGACTGCAAGGTTTTGTCTTGGAATATCTTTTTTCTCCATCTATACTTATATCTCTTTTAAGGAAAATCACATAAAATAATATAAAATCATATAAAATAATAATTATTAATCAATTACTGATGGAATGATATATGGTAATGCCTTACTATTTTTTTTAAAGATTTATTTATTTAATTTATGTGAGTATATTTCAGCTCAGGGCATCGGATTTCATTACAGATGGTTGTGAGCCACCATGTGGTTGCTGGGAATTGAACTCAGGACCTCTGGAAGAGCAGCCAGTGCTCTTTACGGCTGGGCCATCTCTCCAGCCCATGCCTTACTTTGTTAATGGCGGTTTGCAGAGTGATGGGGCTAGTAGCAACCTACCCTTCTTTCAATTCATTCACTAATTAGTAAGCCAACTAACTAATTTTGGAGACTACCTTTTGCTACACAACAATGATATTTAACAAGAAAAGATTTTTTTCTGAAGATTAAAATCAATTGCAAGTTGATCTTATTAACTTATGCTTCAGTGTAAGTAAGTCTGCTGCTTTGCCGGTTCCTTTAGCTAGTTCTTGTCAGCATCAAGATTAGACACCGAGTACAGCTTCACTGCAGCTGTGGCCTTCCTCGCCTTCCAATGGCTGTGCTTCTCTCTCTCTCAGAACTGCACCTACTCACGGTACCTGCCAAGCTTGCGCTGCCTGTAAACAGGTGCTGGTACAAAGTCTACTGGAGGCGTACTTTGCTGACTTTCTCCAGTCTCGATCTTTAGACCTTAAAGGAATAGGCTATACACAGCAGCCCCAGTTTTTTTTCCTTTCCTAGGAAGCATGCACAGATGTGACAACCATGCTGATATAAGGAAGGAAAGATGCAGAAACCCAGAGATGCTTATGGCTAAAAACTACCAGATAATTGTATTTGTACATTGTAATGTTGGTAGCATTTAGCATAGAAGACTAAGACACAGTCTTACTTTGTCACTCTTAAGATGGATAGATTGTTTTTCCTATTAAGAGTCTAAAAATAAGGTTTAGCCATTTAAGCAGCTGTTGGAGTGGCTAAGCCAGAAGTCCCCTTAATGGTGGCATTTAAAACCCAATTAATTTGTGAGAGGAAAGGTCATGTCAAGTGATACCTGCATATGTCTGTCACTGTCTTGTCCAATCATGTTTCTCCATTCCATGAGCGACTGCTGCAGACGTTCGAGTCCAGTTTCCCAGAGCCTGACACGCCCTCCCATATCAACGGTCACGACACTGCTATTATCCCACTCAGCTAGCAGAGCATCTGTGTCCGAAATGGCAGATATCCATGCGGTATATGGCGAGAGAGACTCTGCACTGAAAGAAGAGCCCAAAGGAAGGTCAGAAACCACGCAGAGCAGGCAGGTGATGCCTTAACGGGTGTAAGCCTAGCCCACCCACCTCTGCTGCCCTAAGAAATGTGTTCCCTCAGCCTTGGAGAGCTGCATCTGTTCTTTGCCAATGCAGGGTTGCTTTCTGTCTGCTCTTGCCCATCTCACAGCACAAAACATCCTGAGGTATGAGCAATGAAGGTAGATGCACATACTCAGGGTGGGGCTGAGGAGACGGCTCAGTGGTTAACGCACTTGCTGTGCAAGCATGGGGAGGGGAGGGAGTTCTGCCTGCCTGTGAATCCAGCCACAAAGGATATGTGAGTACACGGAGAGAGGCAGGGCTTACTAGTAGAGTGCTGCTAGTGGAACCCCCAGCATCACAGAATAAAAACGTAATCAGGTTCAAATATATGACATAAAAACTTGGCTCTGCAGTTATACAACTCTGTTACGTTTTTTATTCTATGAAGTTAGCTGTTGTGATTTGGATGAGAATGGGCTCATAAGCTCATTATGTTTGAATGCTTGGTACCAGTTAGAGGAACCGTTTGGGAAGGATTTGGAGGTGTGGCCTCGCCCGAGGAGGTGTGGCACTGAGGGTGGGCTTTAAGGTTTCAAAAGCCCATGCTAAGCCTCTTCTCACTCTCTCTTTGTCTTCTGCCTGTAGATCAGGATGTCAGCTCTCACTAAAGTTTCAGTGCCATGTCTGCCTGTCGCCATGCTCTCTCCCATTACCATCATGGCCCCACACTGTAAAACTGTGAGCAAGCCCCCAGTGAAATGATTTCTTCCAAATGTCATCTCGGTCATGATGTTTCATCAGAGCAAAAATACAGTAACTAAGAAAGGTATCACGTAGAGCACTCAAATTTAGATGGTTCATTCCTCTCTGATGTGTGTCAAATATAGTAATGGCTAATTTCAACAGAAAATCAGGCTGGAAGGACAATCATGTAAATAATGTATCATGAGTTAGAAGTGTAAATTACACACTGAGATTTGAAAGGCGTTTTTTCCTTTGACACTATGTATCCCTGGATGGCTTCTCTTCTCTGAGTGCTAATATTAAAAACATATACCATAATATCTAACTAAAATTTTTATACTGAAAAAAAATCTCAAAAATATTGTCTTAGAGATATTAGTTTAAATAAAATATATCATTAAAATTCATTTTCCTTGTTTTTTCCTCTGGTAACGGGGCCCAAGCCCTGGGCATCGCACATTGCTGGGCATGTACTCTACCTCTGAGTACAGCCCAACCCCTGCTATGTTCTTTATGCTGCTCTAAGAGCTATCACTCAGATGGGGTGCACTGTGCATCAATCAGACAGCTTCAGTGTAAAGGAATGAGTTGTGTGCCCAACCAGCACTTGCTGTGCATGCAGCTCCCTTCCAAGAATTCTTTCCCTGCCTGTAGAATAAGTAGCTCATATAGAATGCAACGAACACAGATGCAAACAGCTTATAGAGAACATTGGGAAATGACAATACTTCAGAAATGCTAACATATCATTATGCTGGGTTTGACAATATGACACAGATGTAGATGTGTTTGGGAAGACAATCCTTAATTGAGAAAAATGCTTGCACCAGCTTGTCTATAGGCAAGTCTGTAGGGCATTTTATTGACTCATGATTGATAAGTGTGTGAGGGGATACCCTGTTGTGGGTGATGCCCCAAGCAGGTGGTTCTGGGTTATATAAGTAGGCGGAGCAAACCATGGAGAGTAAGTCAGTAAGCAGCACTCCTTCATGGATTCTGCTTCAGTTCCTGTTTCTGGGTTCCTGTCCTGACTTCCCTCAGTGATAGTGGTGGGCCTGAGATTCCTAAGATTTTTTTTTGTTTGTTTATCGTGTTTATCACAGAGCTATAAACCCTAACTAAGACATTCCGAGATGTTATTTGCTTTGATTCTTGAACTAATTGTGCATTTAAGCAAATGTATGGCCAGGACAGAATAAGACATTCCCTTAAATGATTAAAAAACATCTCTCACTAAGCCAACATATTAAGGTATTCTAAGAAGCCACAAGTATTAGAGAAAGTAAATTTACCTCTCTGGTTAATGACTTCATTTTTCATAAATTTAAAGTCTGACTAAAGGTCATAAGCAATGAAGCTGTTCCTGAATTCTGCATTGCTATGCCTACCTAGCTGTTTTCTTCTGGAAGTCAGAGGAGGGTAAAGAGGCACGCCTGTTGCTGCATTGGGTAGCCTTCAGATTCTGCCATGCCAGCCTGGCCTAGGCCCCTCTCCTGGGACTTCGGGCAAGGCTTTACCTTGTTGTGAAGGGTTCAGTCCCATGAGACAAGGCACATCAGGGAGGGAACGTGATCTAGATTAAAGTGGAGTGGAAGGATGAGAGGGAGGCTTTGGCTGGCATTAAGCAAAGGGCAGAAGAATGTTACTACAGTGAAGGCAGGTACAACTTCAGCTGGAAAGCAGGAGCCTGGCACAGCGTGCAGGGCTGCAGGGAGAGAGCACATCTGTGTTCTGGGTCGGAGAGGCTCGGCTCTGTGCCTGCTGCGATCACACATCTCCCTGCTTTAAAGGGTCTGCTGCCGCAGCAGGACAATGGCAGGAGCTGTGAGCAGTGAGTGGGAACAAGCTCCACCCAAGTCTCTGGAGAACTGTCCAACTACAGTGTGGGGCCTGCAGGTGAACCTGGTAGTGAACAGGTGAATGGTAAAAACTCTCTTGCTTTCATAGGACAAATCACAGTTAGAAGAGAGCCGAGAGAGATTACCTGGGGACAGGGATGTATCTGAGTTTCTTGGCTTGAAGATCAGTAACCTCTATGTAGCCAGCCGTCTGTGGGGGAGTAACATCTGCAAATAAGTCATGACACAAGACAAGTGTTAAAGGCGCAGGTGACAAAGTGGACCCAAGGGTGGGACTCTGGGAAAACCAAACACTTTTACAACACACACATGCTCTTAAAGATTTTTGTCTGTTAGTCTGTCTGTCTAGCTACATGCATACACCTATCTTCCTATCTTCCATCATTTTTATTATAGTTTGGATTAGAAGGAAATGCCCAGGATATTCACACTGTATCCATTGAGTGTGTTCAACAAACACCAGAAAAAGAAAAATCAAATACAAACAATAATAGCAGTTCTAGTTTATGTCTGCAATTGAAGGATTAAAAAACAAACAAACAAACAAACAAACAAACAAACCAAATTAGCTATCTAAAAAAACTCAAAGTGAAGGATTTTTCTAAAATGGGCTGTCTAGAATCCTCAGTGCACCTTTACGTATGCAGCAGAGGTGTGTGTGCTAACTTTGCAGCAGACATGCTAACCTGCATGTTGGGAAGGACAGGAGCTCACAGCATGGAGAGCCAAAGTTCCTCCCTTTGTCTTTGCTTTTCCTTTTTGACCCACTGTGGACCTCTGGGGACCTGGAAAAGATTCCAGAGTGGGGACTGTCCATTTGGAGTCAGGTGTGAGAGATTCAAAGGGGTGTGTGTGTGTGTGTGTGTGTGTGCTTGTGAGTGTGTGTGTGTGTGTGTGAATGCCAGAGACAGGGGCACCAGGGACAGGGGCTAAGATGTAATCTACCCACCTAGCTGGAGCAGTTGTCCCCAGGTGACCATCTGCATGTGCTTGTCACAAGTCACACTGTCTGCCTTGCACTTCCGTGGAATAAAGCCAATCTTTGATAAAGCTGTACACCATTTATAATTTTTGGCAATTTTTGATTCTAAAATCTAGCTGAAATGAGGTAAATTTATATTTGGTCTACAAATATGTGTTATTTATTGACCATGTTTTTGTTGTTGTTATTTTTTGTCTTGTTTTTCTAAAAAGGACAAGCTATTGAAGCTAGCACTGCCTATCTAGCTAACCTACACAGCTGCTTTGTCACTTAGGGACATTTTCAAAAGCACACGGCAGGAAGCTGAGTTACTCTAAGGGCACTTTCTGACCACTGCGGACACACAACATGTCTGACCACTGCGGACACACAACATGTCTGACCACTGCAGACACACGACATGTCTGACCACTGCGGACACACAACATGTCTACTCGTTTCAAACTCTTTTTCTGCATCATTCTCTCTTTTTGTCCACAATTAATTCCATGGACAAAGGAGAAAACTGCAGTGCTGGCTCTGTCTTCTGTTCCATCAGGAGAAAGCAAGAATCGATACCGATTAAGACATTTCACGCAGCAGCAAAGGGTTCTGTGGTCACTCAGGTGCCTGGCAGTGTTGTGGCGATATTGCTAAGCACTTAAAAAGAATCAAGAGTAAAGTTTACTGCTGTAAAAATAAACCAGGAGACAAAAGTATTTACAGAAAGAGCCTTATGGGTATCCTTGAGTGGAACTGTGGAAGAATTAAGGAAGTGTATCTGCAGCCGGGTTTCTCTCCAAATTTAGTGCTATCCATCCATTCTAAATGGGCCCTCACTTAGGAAGATGGAGGCTTAGTATATTTCCACTGTGGTTACAGCCCTGGTGGATTTCAAAGATAGGTACACACTGTATTTAGGGATTAGTCCACTCCCTATTAAAGGGAAGTCACTGCTGCAGTGTTTACCACTGAGTTCCAGAACGGTGGAACGTTTATACACACAGGGCCAAGGTTAGGGCAGGAATAAAGACTGCAGGTAAAACAACCAAGAGAGTCTGCAGAGGCAACTCAAGTTACTTTACAAAATTCACTTCTTTTGGAAATGTAATCTAGTGCATTTCTGCTGGCCACTAGGATTGAGGTTCTTCCGTCTATATTCACTGATTTAAAGTGATATAGAAAAAAGTTTCACTGATTGACATTTTCCAGTAATGGTCTTTATATATGTGTGTGTACATGTTCATCTGGTGACTAAAAGTTATTTTTACATCTGGACACAGATGAAAAAAAAAACATGACTGGGTGGTAGAAAACAAAAACTAAAACCATAATAAGGGTTGGCAAGATGGCTCAGTGGGTAAAGACACTTCTCATCAAGCCTGAAAACCTGAATTCAATTTCCAGAACCCATGTGGTGGAAGGAAAATCCAAACCCTGTATGTCGTCCCCTGATCTCTTTATGCACACCACGGTAAATGCCAGCCCCTTTGGCACACTAAATAAAAGGGTAAAAAAATATAAAAGCTGTAATGAGAAGTACTGTCCACCTCTCACAAGAATGGGAAGCTGACAGCACTAAGTCCTGGCAAGGAAGTGGAACAACTGGACTCTTGTTTACTGCTGAGAGAAATGCAAATGAGCCTGGCCACTTCAGAAAATAGTTATAAAAAAAATGCCATTCCTAAGTATTTACCCAAGTAAAGCAAAAACTTAGGCTCACTGAAAAACACCTATGCACAAATGCTCATAGAGGCCTTATTACTATGTAAGACTAGAAACAATCTAGGTATCTCTCAATTTGTGAATGGATACACAAATGGTAGCATACTCACATGTAGTGGTGTCACCATACTATAGACTGCTACACTGAATAAGTCAGCACAGTATACTGGCAATGGACTGGCTAGTTTTTGTCTACTTCAGACAAGTTAGTCACCTTGGAAGAGGGAACCTCAACTGAGAAACCTCTTATCTATTGGCCTGTAAGAAATCCTCTGGAGCATTTTCTTGTTTAATGATCAGTGTGGAAGGGCCTGGCCCACTGTAAACAGAGTCACTCTGAAGCAAATGGTCCTGAGTTGCATAAGAAAGCAGTCGGAGCAAGGCATGGGTGAGCAAGGTATGGGTGAGCAAGGCATGGGTGAGCAAGGCATGGGTGAGCAAGGCAT